TGTTACAACTCTCTGGCAGAAGGGTCAGAAGTACTGTACCAGAAGTACTGTACATTACTACAAGATGACCAGCTTTTTTTTTCGATAGTCCAGCTACTCACATCCACTGCTATCACATGAAAAAGCTAAAGAGAGTCTTGGGGAGACGTTGGGTATTTTAATGATCTCGCTCTAGGGGTGATTTTGTTTGCTCTGTTCAGAGTGGCTCCAGTATCAGAATTCTCAGCTAGCTACCATTCCTCAAGCAGTGACTCAAATTATTGACGCCATTGTACAAGGTCAATCCCCCATGGAGTCAGGAATTTCACTGCCAGCAGCCAAAGTTATTTTATCCTTACTTGTCTGTGTGGTAGAGAAACAGTTTTTGTAGCTAATGAACTTTTTGTATTAAGGTTGTTTTCTTGCCAGGATAGACTCTGGTGCCCTTCGCTACTTTGTACTGGATAAAACAGTTAAGAAATGGATAGATTGATAGATTTTCTGGTAAATTTCCAAGCATTAAGTGCTCATATATCTGTTTGTGCTTTTAATCTGTATATACAATATAGTATAAAGCCTTAAGATCTTACCTTTCTTGTCTTCATCTGATTTCTCTTTATCTTCCTTTGTTTCATCTGCAGAATATATTATTTCATGTTGTGAACATCTCAATAAAACGTTAAATAATATGGGAGGTACTTTTCAACTAAAGAAAAGGGAAGCAGATAACTGAGTATTCGGATAGTCAGAAGAAATCAAATAAGAGAGATGAGAATTTCTCATCTCAAGTTAAACATTATTACACAAGTTAAAGGAAGCAAAGCTCTCAAGCCGGGAGCGAGGAAGATTCAAAGGCAAAAAGCCCAGAGATACTAAACATTTTAACCCAAGGAGCTACTTCAGTTTAAGAAAATAGAGAATTGAGCACACCTATGAGGTAAAAAGTCAAAATTAAGCATAGATTAATTTGAACAGTATGCAATTCATTACTCGGAGAGGTATAGTCAAAGCAAAGTTTTTGAAGTTGATGTTTTTGAGCCTTAATATACCATATGTCATTTTGCCTTGATTTTAAATTAACATCTCTTATTTAGAACTTCATGTTGTAAAATTCATTTTTCCCATTTGGTGTTATGGTGCTTTATACCTTTCAACAGTGGTTACGTTTTTTCTTATTCACACACTTAGAAAACCAAAGTTTAAAGTCACCATAAACTATGGGTTTATGAAATATTATGGACAACAGCTACTTACAAACTGTGTTGTAGGACAATGTAGCAGCTACAAAAAATGGCTAAGCACTGAGCAACCTCAAAGTCATTCTTTTAGAAATGTCACAGCCTTAAAATGTTTTTGGAAAACGCTAAAAGATTGTTATTGGTATTGCCTGTACACGTCGTTGATAAACAGAAAAACACCAGAAAATGTTAGTATCATGAAAGAACTAATTGTAAATACCAAGTAACCAGTTTTTGCAAATACCCAATGTTCAATGGCGTACACCTAAGAAAACAGATTTTTTTTTACAATTTACAAAGATTACTTTACAAGGTTTTAGAAAGCGATATTAGATTAGATTATTATTAGATTGTCTACTTTTGTTTTTATCTCTTTTATGTTCAAGGCCCTGAATCCTCCCATTTCTCTTCTGACCTGATGTTTCAGCAGACTCTTTGCTCTCAGCAGACACATTAAGTGCTCTGGTGGTTTCTGTCAGAAAAAACGATTGTTTGGCGTGAACCAAATTAACATCCATTTACATCCATTGACTTGTATGTCTTACAAGTTGAATCCCTTTCATCGGTGTCTAGATCAAAAATGAGTGTTACTTTTGTCCCATTTTGTAATTGGTCTGTGAGTGCTATTTCTGTATAATGCTATAATTGGATAATACATTTGAATTTTTGTTATACAAAATTCTTTTCCCAAGCAATGCATGAACCTGGGTGGCATGGTGACACAGTGGTTAGCATTGTTGCCTTGAAGCTCTGGTCCCCCGAGTTCAGTTCCGGACTTGGGGTGCCAGCTGTGTGGAATTCGTATGATTTCCCTGTGTTTGCATGGGTTTACATCAGGTGCTCCAGTTTCCTCCACAGTCCAATCATGTACTGGTAGATTAATTGGCTTCTGGGATAAGCTCTGGCTCCCCAGTGACCTTGAATTGGATGAAGAGGACGCATAAACTTGGCAGCAACTAAATATCTTAAAATGTCCACCTCTAAGACATTAAATGTTTAACACAAAACTTCTGAGATTAAATAAAAGGGTGATTTTTGCTATTCCAAGTTATTATAAATTAAATGATAGGACTAAATACCTTTCTTTTGGGCCAATCTGACCAAGCACGCCATAGGGCTTGGGGAATTAGCAAATCAAATCCATCCAAATCGTTTGGGAATTCAAATCCAATGAAGTTATGCTTGAGCTTTAAAACATGCTAGTAAGGGCTCATGTAGAATACAGTGTTCAGTTTTAGGTACTATGCCTCATAAAAAATAATATTGCCATAGAAAAAGTTAAAAGAACCGCAACGTTTCCTGGTCATGCACAGACATGTTGTGGGAGCTAAATCTCTTCAGTCGAACAGAACAGACTAAGAGGATATTTGATCCAGGTATACAAGGTGTAAAGATACAGAAGGTTCAACACAGGGAATGTTTCACACGCAGTAGTGAAAACAGGATGCATATTTGAGTCATAATTGGAAACTGAAGGAGGAAGACAGGGAATAGGAAACAGTTCTTCACTCAAAGAGTATCTAGGACCAGTTCCCAAGCCAAGTGACTGAAGCCCAAACTCTGGGACCTTTAAGAAACACCTGAACAAATATTTAAATTCATTTCGCTACTAATCTTCTGAATGAGGATGTTGGTCTGAATTACTGATCTCATTTTGCATCTTCTATGTTCTTGAATAGCAATGTAATGGCATAAGACCTTAGTAATGTAAAAGCTTAGGGTTTAATGCTACACTGATTTTCTAAAAAGGTTAGCTAAGTTGCAAAATACATACTGCATCAGTTACTGTTTTTCAGTTTTTCAGGGTGTATCTGTGTCTGAAGGTGTTCAATATATCATATATAGTTTATATATAGTATATACAGTATAAGCTATATATTGAACACTACAGGTGTTCAATATACAGTATGTTTTACTTGTAACTTGAACTACATCTTACATGCAACCTCTTGTTTTCCAACATACAGTAAATTGAACATGTAGGCAATATTTTACCAATAAAATAATTACTCTACCTTTAGAGCTGTCATCACTGGATGTTGAAGAGCCATTTGAGTCATCCTCTGAAAGAAAAATAATCTGGAATGAGTTCCCTGCACTAACATCATCAAGATCACTTACAGACAGTGACAAAAATGGGCAATCACATCCAATTAAGTACTGGAGAACATAAACTCTTCATTAAGAGTAGGGATGCTAAAAATATTTTTTTTATTATATTTGTTTATTATATTTATTAAATGAACCGTTTTAGAAATCTGCAAAACATACTGAGGCAAAGTGTTGTGAAGGGTGATATACAAAATAAAATGGTGAATTGATTGATATTATCAGATCGTTCAAAAGTGAAACAAAGTTTCTTGATTTAGAAGATCTCAGAAAAAAAAACTGCAAACTGTTTGCATCCATTCAAAATTCCAATTAGTTCAAACTGTAAGCAAACTGAATGGCATTTTATTTACAACTTTTCTTCCCTTCTTTTTGGCGTTTTTTAATAATTTTTCTAATGGAATTCATGGTTGTAGAGCTTGAGGAGTCTATACATTCTGAAGATCTGAAATTCTGAAAGTCTGAAAATTCCAAATGAAATGCTTAGAATCCAACAGAAACCAATTTTTTATTCTTAATTAAATTAATTCAATGCTTAGAGAATCTTCAACAAATAATCATTATCAGCATCTTTAAAAATGAAATATTTAAAAAAACACCTAAAATAAAAATAGATTTATGGCAAAATGTATCCATTCAGTTCTAATCGATAGCTTGCTAGTATGCTTAATTAATTAGTACACATGCTTAATATTGCTATTTTGGTGGGAATGTAATTTCTTGTGAAGCTGTATTTTGGTACATTGTTTTCAATGTTGTGTCAGTATGGTTATTTTCATTTTGTTTCATTTCCAAGCAATACATTCCAAAATTTTGACAAGACTTTTCCTATAACTAGACTACACTGCATACTGTAAGCATTAGTTAGAAAAAAATAACCAAAATTTGCATCTACAGTTAATAATAATAAAAATAATAATAACAGCATCACTTTATTAACCCTTTACAATTTTTTGCATTAGGAATTATCTTTTCGCAGACCCCAGCTTGCTCTCCATGAGACACACAGACAGGGAAAGAGGGAGAGCACAGGGTCAGCCATTGTACAGCACCCCTAGAGCAGTTGGGGTTAAGGGCCTTGCTCAGGGGCCCAACGGAGTAGGATTCCTTTGCCAGCTGTGGGATTTGAACCGGCAACCTTCCAGCCACAGGCATGTTTATGACCTCTAACAGCTTTTTATTAAAGCATGAGACGTCTAAAATACTGCCACCCTTCCAAAATATCACGTGCGTGTTGATGTAAATTGGAGGTAAATGAGAAATGAAAACCACTTTTTGGCATGGAAATATTTGAAGCTGTGAAATTATTGAGCCCAGTTTCCATCACACTGTAACTTGGTGAATTTGTGGTGTTACTGGAGGTATCCAAGTTACCCGAAAAACAAAAAACAAAAAACAAATGACTGTCGGTTCAAGGCGAAGTTTAACAATAGCTTCATGTGTTTAATCCTTTGTGTCATTAAAAGAAAACCTTCATACAATGGTTACTACATGGCTCCAGGAGTTACCACCTTCATACTGAAACAAAAGAAAATCTTCTCTTATACTGTACATTCCCAAGCTTAAAGGAATGTCATATTGTGACAGGCAAAAAGAACTGAACCTTTTTAGTCTTGAGCAGAAAGACTACAAGGGGATGCAATTTCAAAATGCAAGTTATTTCTTCAGAATCACCAGTGAAATGCAAACCAGTGGGAACTATATGGAAGTGTATATGATAAACCAAATACAGGAGGCGCTTATGCTAAGGGCGTGTGTGAAATGTGAAACAAACTTCACAGCCTTGCTGATGGAGCTGATACTCTGATTTCATAGAAGGAAAGGTCTGGGTCAATCAGCTACTTACTACCACACAGGTTGAATTGGCTGAATGTCCTCTAGTCAATGATGTATGAATGTAACCTTCTTGTGTTCTTAAAAGACAGCCATTTAACACAATTTGGCAAGCAGGAAAATTAACTGGAACTGACTCAAAGTTTCATCCATACAGTATATCAAATACCTTGGCTTGTCAGGCCTGGTCTTGAAGAGTCAATGACTGGTAAGCATAATACTGTCGGTCACCTTTAAATCATATACTCTATTTGTTAGTCTTAAAATCGGGAAAATGTTTAAGTATATGAACAATTAAGCTAGCTTTTTTTTCAATTAAGAGGGAACACTGGTCCTTGAGGTCTGAACAACATAAAGAAGTTTGTGGCCTCAAATTACTTAATGGAATACTGACTAATGAATGACTTTTCAGCTTGCAACACCACTGGCTGAATGTTTGATGCATCTCAGATTTAAAAAGAAAGATCCTAAGGATCTTGATCTAATAGATAGGATTAAAGTAATCTGTTGTCATACTCACCTTTTGTTGTTTGTTCACTGGAGGAATCTGATGTTTCTCTGAAACCTAATGAAGAAAAGGTGCTTTACAAATTGTGGGATTTTTTGCTCTTCTCATTTTGATTTCCAAAGACTCAAAGTCAGCCGCTGTATTATATCATATTTAAACATAATAATCATTGAATAGGAAATAAATTCCATGCTGATCAAATTAACTGTCTGGATGGCTTTATTTTAGAGTCTATAAAATTACATAGTGATTTATTTTTGCAAACTGACAATTAAATCAGAATATTTAAGTAATAATTGTCAATTTAGAAAAGCAGTGTGAAGTGACTGAAACAGCAGTATTCACCACTATTTCTTATATATTACTGACAACCAAATATTTTGTTCGGCATGAAGTTAGTGCTTTGTGCCATGGTATTGTATCACAATATGTTGCCCATAAGAAGACTGATACAGACCTACTGAGACTGAAAAGTCAGTACTGTCTGTTGAGGTATCAGCATCATGGTCACCTGGAATGACAAAGCATCAACCATTTTTTAGTATTTCCCACGGCATCTTATACAGTATCTGTCGTTGTACAGTACTTGGATGATAAAAATACAAACTATGAAACCCCTAGACAAGCACAGAAGCCCATAAGCAACAGAAAAAATAAAATAAAAATAGGCAAATTCTATGCTATACAGTACATAATGTTTTGGGCTTGCATGTCAGTAGTATGTATAACAATAACTTCATATATTTCATACACATAGAGTTCCTAAAATTAAACAATTCACAATAATTAGAAACTAGATTTAATCCTGAGCCCTTAAAGTACAGTACTCGGACCTCAGAATTCCACTGAGCACTGTGAACTTTTATTGCAGTGAACATGGGCTCTTAATTTTGATCACGAAAAAAAAACATACTGTTCTGTTGAACATCAGTTCCAAATATGGTCTTTATTGGATTTTGTTTCTTTCACTTTCGTGTAATTCCAGCTAAAATGAACTGTTATTCCAATTCTCCTTTTATGATGATGTTTAATAGCAGTGAATGTTGATTTCACTATATTTCAATATAGGGTAGCTGCTTTATTTTGTGTGATGGTGTACAATAAATTGTATGCTGTCGATTTTGTTACTCCAAATTAAAGTGTACAATTTTGTTTTAATAAAGAATCATGTAAATGTTCAAAGTAATATAAGTAAATGAAGAAAACATAGTTTATATTTCATATTTTTTGTTTTCAGCAAATCGTGTTTTAAGAAGTCATTTGATGGATGTGTAAATCTTTTAAAATAAAGAAGCATCTTAAATTAATTTTTTTAATTAAATTTGTGAGGCGATGGTGAAAAGCCTGCTCAAGTATTTATCCTCAGGCATAACAGTTTTTTAGTTGCAGGCAAGACACAATGTGGCATAGTCATAAATCAGCAATTTATTCATCTGAAGCCCCAAAGGTCTAATTTGTGGGCATTTTACAATTGCAAAGATGCATTAAGTGTATTCCTACACAGACTCAGCCAATAATTAAAATGCAAGGGCATTAGAATAGAATTCTGTGTGGCCTTTGATGGTGTAGACTAGAGCAATGAAATTCTAGACATGCTGAACCTGGAGAAAAGGCACCCACTGTTACTGTATGTGCACCTCGGCCAGCCTCTACAGCTGTAATTTCTTTGTATGGGGAAGGTGCAAACAAGTTATTAGAATCCGTGAATGCTTATTAATACTGAAATGCTTTTATGAACGTTTTGCGTATACCTCAACAGGTCAATTATGAATTACTTCACAAAAGTTTGCTTTATTCTACTATTGTGAATTACTTCAGGGCAAACATTAGGACATCGAGGATAAAAATAGAAATACTACCCAAAAAGTACAGATAAGGTTATTCAAAAGTCCACATAATGTCTTTTGAGTTATAGAAACAGACTTTAATGTAGTGTACATCATACCATCTCAAATAATTGTATAACTAGGGTATTTCATTATTTTCATATATTTCATATTCATATTAGATGTTGATTTTGTTTAATGTCTAATTTAATGCAGCCTTAGCTTTGTACAGGCCATCCAGATCTTGTGGTGTTTAGAATTCTAGTTTCCAAAGTTAAATTAACTTTTATTCAAAACATTTTAAGTTAAAAAAAAATCTTGGACATAGACACTTTTTTCACTTCGATTCTTTTGTAAATATCTAGGGAATCAATATAAACTAGATGATTATCAAAACCAGCCAAACCAACCAAATAATAAATATACAGTCGATATTAATGTCTCTTTAATACTAAAACTATGGGACTATAATACCAATACCTGTTGTTAATTATCCTGTTAGAATATCCACCACTGAGGGCGTGGGTCAGCACTTTTGAAATACACTGTATGCCAAATAGCAGTGCTGACCAAATCCAGTTCTTAGTCTGCTGGTTTTTATCTGTAAATCAGTGGAGATCTAAGGAAGAAAATGCTAAATATGACCAGCTAAGCAAATTATTTCTTTGGTTATATCACTGACAATTGGAAACCCATATAATTAATGAAGGCTTGTTCTAGTATCATACTGTCAGAGATCACACCATATTTTACACAACAGGCAATGGAGAACTTGCCAAATTTATTGTGCTGAAATATAACATGGTTTCAGATAGTGGTATTTAGAAGATGTACAAATCTGACAGACACATGCATACCCACCATTTAGATATTTCAGCAACACCATGGACCTATCTGAAACAAAATAACAGGAACTTTACCACAAAAACCACAATTATCTAGCTTTTTAATTGTGAAGACAAAGATACTTTTCCAGGAAAAATCATATTGTTAAAATGCATTCAAAGGGGCTACAGGAATGAATAGTGGTTATTTTATTTAATATATCATTAACTTAAGGTTTATCTTGATGTTATAGTTTATTATACCTAATGTATTGTCGAAACAATATTAGCATATCAGTCTTTACACATGGATTAAATCTTGCCATAATGATTCTTTCCGTTTGTGAACAAACAATAAGATTAGTTTAGAATTATTGAATGTTTTATGCTAAAAATAATAAAAGAAGAGTGGTGGAGAAGATGGAATCACCCTGTAACCGTGTCACTCTCAGGGGTGATACCACAGGGGATGTCTAAACGCTGCCAGTTTGGAAATGAAACTGCCCTGAAGGCCCAATTGCCATGGAAACCCCCACAAAAGGACACTCTAGCAAGGCTTGAGTTCATTCACAAAAAAAAGAAAGTGCACCTGAGAGGCACAATTTAGATTTTAACGTCAAGAGGGAAGTGGTATAGAAGTTAATTCACATACAAGGTGCACATTAACTAAGCACATAGAAAGACCAAACTTTTTTGGGGGTGTAATGGTAAAATAAATTATTTGAAAAGTGATAATGTACAGTATGAAAACAATATGCTAAGCATGATATTAAGAAGATGAAAGGGTAAATTGTTCATCCTGTTACAGAAATTGCTCTGCCGCAGTAAGCAGATTGAAGATAATCCTCCAACACCGGAATCTGAGGGATATTTGAAAATTAAAAAAAAAAACAAAGTAAAACTTAAAATTTCCATTTCAAATGAGGGTAAAGTCTGAGAATCTGACATTGGTCATCCATTGCTGAATATTTAACCCAGAAATACAGCATTTGATTTCTAAATTATTGTAACGTATTTGAAAAATAAAATGACTGACAAACAGAGTCAAAGCTAAGGACATCAATGGTGTTGGCATGAAAACACAGAAAGGGAGGAATTTAAAACTGATAATACTTGAGCAAGGGACTGCTCAGGTGAATAAAGGATATCTTACCATCCGTAGGTGCAGAAAAAACAACAGCCACAAGTGCCAGAGCCAAAACGACAAGCAGAGTGCTAAAAAATATTAAAGAGGTGGGTGAGACTTAAATGACTTTCAGGAGAAAAACCCTGAGAAATTAAATTAGCTCCATAAAATGTCAAGGCGGACTTCATTGCCACTTTTCGCTCAAACTGTAAGCTGCTCTTTCAGCTGCAAAGATCTGATTTCCATCAACAAATAATTCTCAAAATATAAGTGTCGCTTGGGAAACCTTTTCAAAACAACCTTAACTACCACCAGTGGTAATTATTTAAAATTTGCTTTGTTATATGAATGGACAGAAGGCTACTGAAGAGGGTAAATTATAGGTAAGGTGAATTACAGTAAGCATTGTCTAGAAGCATCTCCAAATTCATTATGTCACTCTGGGCCATTTAGATATTATGATTTGTATTTCATGTACAATAGGAAGCTTTTACAATAAGGGAGATTCAGAATACAAACACAATCTCTCTAACAAAACATCTCTAACCTCTTATACATTTAGAATAATGCACAACAGAAAAAACAAATGAATTTACATTAATGCACATTGCAAGTTAAAATGCAATCTTGAGCTAGATGGACTGATGTGAAATAGCATCTATTTTATTTTTAAATCAAAGAGCTATCATTTCCTAACATATTGCATCTCTGTGTTCATCTGGTTTGCATGATTCTGAAGAACATCTTAAAAGTATCATTGTGTTGCAATAAAATGTACATTCCAGAGAGGAGCTGGGAATTCAGTGAAACAAGTGCTTTGGAGCTCATGAACAGAGAACAGTTAAAGTTAGTCCTGTTTTCCTTTTCAAAATCAGTATATTGTTTCATGTTATAATTCTGGCTAACATGACCTATTGGCCAAAATAATATAATTACAATATTGTCTGTGCAACATGAGTTATAATATTACTAGAATTCAATGTAATACTAGGAAATAAGCTATTGTATTTATCAAGAGTAATTGAATCTACTGTACAATTCCCCAAAATAATGTTTTTTGGAAGCCTGCTTTCAGACTTAAATTAGATACAACAATGCTAATTGCAGAAGAATCAGCATCCAGTAAAAATCCCAAAGAAGTCAATGAGCCAAGAAAGTAAAAAAAAAAACATTCCAGAAAATGCATTTGCAAATCAGGTAACTGACAACTCAGCCACTATCTTTCCCTCCGTAAAGAGACACAACGTCAAAACCACATATAGACCTTAAAGAGTTTTGATCAGACTGAATATTTTCACAACCTGTCTTTGCTTTGAAACTCACCTTTGGTCTAACTTTTTATTTTGCATTCTAAACTTAACATCATATGTCAGAACATCAAACACATTCTGAATAATCTTCTTTCTTGTTAAGATGCAAGAGTTATTTCTCATTCAGTACACTCTTCTCTCTTCTATAATTCCTGATGGTGTGATATTAATATATGCATATAATTAATGTTTTTGTGAAACCTATTGATACATGTTGCTCTTCTGTAGATTGGGGTAAGAAGGAAAATTAACTAAAATGAAATTCAAAACAAGTTTATGTCAAATCATGGATGTTTATCTTATGATACAGCAAGTCTTTTGACACTTAATCCGATAAAGCAAGGTATTTCAATCCCAATGTTATGTTCAAATTTTTCACATATTCTCCTACAGTTAGAACAGGCTATTAGCATCAATTTTAAGTCAGCACTTTGTATCAGGAGACTGATTGCCAGAGACTGTCTCAGCTAGTACTCTTCGAAAGTTACAAAAACCATTCTAGAATGAACCTCTTTTCACTTACCAGGATTGCATTGTGTCAGGAATATTAGTAACCAAGCCTGGGCAGTACACAGGAGCTTTTTTGTCTTCTTTGACTCTTAATCTTTTCTGGATAGCAACCAATGGGTTTTATAGCTTTTCTGCTTCCTCAGCGGAAAAGGGGCCGGGCATATATGACGACATGCAAGCGTAACAAAAACCTTCTAAGGTTACATTAATTAAAACAGGGTTGAGGCTGTGATCTTTTACCTTTCAAGTTGTGTGAGAAGTGTTTTTAGTGCTTGAAATGGCACTTGTAAGTTAAGACCTAGTTGACCCAAGACAATATACTGCATCAGAAAACGTATGTAATCCATGATGTCACTTTTCAGTATCCTTTACAAGTGCATTGTCTTCCTCTTGCATGGTTAACACACTGAAAAATACAACCTGCCTGGAATTTTACTGATATTCCACAGGTGATGGTCATGGTTTAAATATTACGTTGTCGGGGCACGGTGCTTGAGAAAATTCAGGTAAACAAGTGAATAAATATTGCGAGCCTGTGTTTAGTTCAGGTCCCACCTAGTTTTGTTTTTTACTGTAATTGTATTTACAGAGCTGCGTTTTGTATCACAATAGTCATTGATTTGAAAACTATGCTGACTCACGGGCAAACCAGAAAAACTGGCAGCTGGTTTTACCCATAATGCATTGTTTACGATTCTTTTGAATAATAGAAATAATTTAGTTTTCCACTTCTTCTGTGTGAGCAAAAGCAAAGGCAGCATTGTTTTCCTTTTGCGGTACAGAAGGTGATTGGTTTACTGCAACTGCAGTAAATGTTCCTGAAAACAGTTCAATGTGGAACATATTTACTCCAGTTAAAGATGTGTCACCGAAGTTCAGATCTGAAATATCTGTAAAATCACTTGGGTGACTGAAGAGTGACATGATGTATTCAAATTTCTCACTGCTTCTGTGGCCATTTTTTTTGCCTCGTGACTTTAATAACTGTGAAAATGATCAACTTTCAGAAAAGTGATATCAGGCAGAAAGTAAAGCAGAAATCAAGCTGTATCAGCAGCTGCAGCAGGTACAGTACATAACATGAAATGGACAGAAATAGAAGGCCAACAAAAACTGTGATATGGGCGTAGAGATTTGCAACTGAGATAAAGTGTTTTGTTTTTTTACCACATGAAGGTGAAGGTGTGTGTTTGTGAAGGTGTTATGTTTCCTCCTTTGTGACCTTGCTTGTATCAGTTCACGTCTGTCCCAATTTGAGGCAAGACTCAAATACACGCGTTTCTGTCTTCCCATCTTGATTAATGTACTGCGGTGCTTACTGATGTATCCAAATGTGTCCTTAATTTCCCACGCCTTTGGCACTCACCCTGTATGAAGTTTAATCCAAATTGCGTGAATTCATGAAAATCACTCTCTGGATTCCTCTGGAAGAAAATTCCAAATTCTGTAACTGGCGTCCCATCCATGGTGTACCCTCTCCTGCACCCATTGCTTGC